ACCCAAAAATAGCAGGCTATATCATGGTAACTATCCTTACTTTCCTATTAACTTAAACTGAAATCCTGTATTACTTACATTGTCTTACTATGACTGATCTTAATTGAATCCGATTCATAAGACCATGGGTTTGCCTTGGCTGATTTTATTTGAATTTGGTATGCTTGTCAGTATCAACCCTAAAAGTAGAGGTAACTACTCTGAAGATGACAAGATGTAAAGGATATCCATACTAGTATTAATTATTAACAGCTCTCAAATCCTACAATGCTTTCAAAGTTGTGTTTTTATGAAAATATGTAATACTATATTTAACTATATTAAGCTGATGATGTGGACAAATCTATTGAAAATAACAAGAGAAAACATAGTAACTACGGAAGATCATCTATATTGTGGTCTTATATGTCTTATCCATTGCATGTTTTTCTAGGAATTTGTTTTGCTGTCTTGTTATGATTTGTTTTTCCCTATAATACAGAGAGTATAGATATATATGTAAAAATTCGCACATGAGTTTTTTTAAAAAAAAATTATTTATGGGGGCTGGGGAATTAGCTCAGCGGCATAAGCGCCTGCCTTGCAAGCAGGCAGTCGTGAGTTCGATCCCTGGTACCGATAAAAAGGAAAAAGACAAAAAAAAAAATTATTTACGGGAACAGATTATGTAATGCAAGATGTAATGAACAGATACTCTGAAGAAGAGACGCTAAGAAACCCAATGCTAATTTTGTAGCATTATGATATAAATTCTAGCAGTACTATTGTTTCTGATTAGAATGACATTGGTCTGGTCTCTTGAGTTCAGTTTCACCATATGTAGAGATGGGGACAGCTACCACGAAGAGAATGAGAGATGCGATGGTAGTTATTATTGTCTTCCCTAATGTTGGATCTTGACGCCCTAAAAAGCCTTCATCATCCTGTAATGATTTGATTAGTTCTATAATATGCAATAAGTATATAATGTGGGTGAAGATGGGGACAACTAAGAAACTAAAGACAGATAGACAGTGAAGAGCTCCAGTGGACTTGCTTTGAAATCTGTATTTCTTTAAATTGTTTTTTTAACTGTTTTGTTCTGTTTTGATATGTTCAATCTTACCCTCTTTGAGATGTAAAACAAGTGTGTAGGACTGATAACCATATTACTGAGTTTTTGTTCAGTCATTGAGCAGAACTGTTTGCAGTGTCACTTTTTGAATGTCATTTTAAATACTTTAATTTTGTAACCTGACCAGCTATTTCTAAGATGACAATATGTAACTTATCAACCAGCGATTTCTTACCGTTTTTCTATAATTTTGTGTTATTTCTGCCCTTTTTTATCTGCATGTATTTTTTTTGTTTCCTTTTCTTTAAATAAAAAAAAAAAGTTTTATTGGGAATAAGAGAAGAGCAGCTCCTATATTTCCTGTGTTGTGTCTTAGGGTATACAGCTGCATCACAGCTCCATAGCCAGCTGGAGTTGTAAACTCAGCACTAGTAACAAATCAGAGGAACAAAGTTTAAAAGAGAAAACATTTTATTTCAAGAAGAACAAACAGAGGACAGGAAGATATACTGTAAGAGGTGAAGATAAGGGCAGTGAATACCCCAGGCCTTTGTTCTCAGCTTCCTTTTACCATGTTTAGGGGATTGTCCTTCTCGGGTAGGTGTCTGGAACTTGTCGCAACCTCATTGGTTCCCTGGACTGTCATAAATAGATCTCAGGCCCAAGATTCTAGCCTGGGCCCCATTCCATATGCACATTCCTTGTGGTGCTTGTTTTTTTCCTGCCCCTTTATGATGGATAAATGGGGCAGGGGCTTAGTGTTAAGGATTAAGGGAATATATGTGTCTCTAGTGCAGTAATATAGTAACCCTAGAATGCTAATGTACATATATGTATATATGAATATAGATGCGTAAGTTTTTTATATACTAAATAACAACTTCCTTTTAAGTGGCTGCCCCTGTCTCCTTTGCATTTGATTGAAGGTGAGGAAAAGTTTATCATCTCTCTCGTCTTGTTAATTGTTCCTTCTAGTTAAATTTTAACCCCTTTCTAATCAAGATTTGCCAGATGAGGCCCTCATTTTGTATTTTCTTCCTGCTTACAGACTCTTTCCCCTTTCATCAGGAGGAATTCCAAAGCAGGTGGCCACCAAGGCCCTTTATCAAGAATAATTTATAGAGCAAACTCATAATTTGGGTATAACACGGGTCAAACTACAGTTAATCTATAAGACAGAGGTGATGAACATATGCATGCATGTTTTTTTCTTTTAAGACAAAAGATGCTAACCTCTTACCAGTCCAATTGCTTAAATACAAGATGGCCAAAATTACATGTTTTTATAAGGTAATATAATAGGAAATATAAAAATGATGATTTTATCAAATTTATTCAATGTAAGAATCAACTGGTTTAAATGACACCTGCTCAAATGACGCTCAGGATAGTATGTAAACAGATGTGCTGCCTGAGTTACCGCACCAAAAGTAAACTGTTAAGTGGTTAATGTATGGTGTTTTTTCTGAACTAAAAACCTCAGTGGTCAGTTTAATTGTAGTATGGGCACTTTGTGATAAATAAGTGTGTTTGCGGTTGCAATTTGGGCACTTATCTCTAAAAGGTTTGCCATCACAAGTCACGTAGCGAGGGTATATGAAAAGAACAAAGGCACTTTGGGGAAGGGATGGTTCAAGATGCTCTGGTCACCCACCTAAGCACTTGTTTCCTAGCTGGACTCTCTGTACCAGATGGTGCTAATTATAGTATGATTACGAATTGTTGCTCATCCCTCATTGGAAGCATGCGGGCCTACCTACTGCATCTTCGTCTTGACTTGGCCTCATCAGACGCTCTTCAGCCACAATTCTGCTGTCTTTATTTTTGTGCTGACTTCCTTGAGAGCCCAGCCCCTTTCTTGACTATATATTAATTTCTGTCTAACTTAGCTTACTGTAATAGATAGGATTTACAGACATTTGGGTTTGAGAAAGGAAAAAAATTTTCTGGCTTGGATAATTGTAATATAATTTTACCTTTAAAGGTTTAAGGAAATCTAAGCAAAGGCTTTAGTACTTAGGAATTAAATTTACTACTTAAATTTAGATGCATCTAATCTGATATGCTTGTGGGACATTTCAAAGGAGATTTCTCATAGAAAGTTGGAGTATAACTCTAAACCGTAGGATTAATGTGAAGTTGTTAGATTAGTGGGGAATGAACCCCATCAGTTTCAGAGGAAATCCAAAATTGTAAATTGGAGGAGGCTGTATCTGATGTATCAGTTAGCTTTTGGTTTTTGCTCCCTGGAAAACACATTTGTGTTACTTCATATCTCTGTGAGTTGGCTAGATGGTTCTTCTGATGTCAACTGGCTTAGCTGATCTCTAGTCTACTGGTGGCTCACAGACTGAATGGTGTAAAATAAGAGGGACTGAATGATACAGACAAGTACAGCGTACATATGTGGTAATTGATAGATAATTGTAGGTTGGCCCCAACTAGAATGACTCCTCTCATCTCCAAATTATCTCTTTCTCCAGTAGACCAGTCTAGGTTTCCTGTAGTTCCTCAGAATTTTCCAGGGTCACACAAGAGTGTTCCTGGGTGTTGGGGTGCTGGAGACTCCTTCTATAGGTGATTTCTAGGTTCCTTATGGCCTGAACAAAGAATTGGTCAAGACAAATACTAGTAAAGTCTTATCTTTATTAAAGTAATAAATGAACCAGGCATATTGGTGCACACCTGTAATCCCAGCACTCAAGAGACAAGAGAATCACCATAAGTTTGAGACCAGCCTGGACTACACAGTGAGTTTAAGGCCAGCCTGTACTACACAACAAAACCCTATCTCAAAAAGATAATGAATCAATCAGTCAGTCAATCAAAAACAGGCTCTGTGAGCCACTTTGGCCAAGTAAAAGTACGGAAAAAAAAAATGTACCCTCCAGTATGAGGATGGGGTACCGTGAAGGGAGATGATAGCCAGAGCTCAAGGTCCACTGTCCTTTTTGTGTCCCACCTCACCTCACCCTACCCCACCCTCACTCCCCACTGGCATCAGGTCTCAAGTTCAAGCTCTCAGGGCTTTGGGGCTTGCTCTGTGCATGTGTGCTGGGATTTTGTTACTAAAAGTTCCTGCCTACACTCCAAGCAGTCTTAGCCATACCCTGCCTCCAGTCTTCCTGCCTCCAGAGGGCAGTCTTCATGTGCAAATGCTTCATTGCCAGCCTGGCCAAACTTGGCTAAGGAGACTTTTTTTTTTTTTTTTTTTTTTTTTTAAATAATGTGCTACAGTTGAGGGCATGGGAAAAAAAGAAGAGGGTCTAGGACAGAACTTTCAAAATTTAATAGTTTATAGTCCAAATTAGAAAATAATGGGGTTTATAGAAGTTGAATCTCCAAGGCTAGGAATGTAGTACTGTGGTAGAGTACCTAGGCAGGACCATAAGTTGGATCTTCAGCACCAAAATATTAAAAGTTAGGCTATTGACCAACAGATTGAGAAAATAAGATAGAAATAAAGACAAAGAAGTGCAGGGAGTATAAAGTCGGATTAGTAGGATCACAGTGTGGGTGTTAAGGTATTGGTTGTTTTTAATAGCTAGGAGGACAATGATAACTAATCAAAGCAACTTGGTGATAGTCTTGAGAAGGCAAGAGCTAAATGATGACTGATGATGTCTAATACAGAGAGAGACATAGATCTCTCCAGATTTGTAAGTTAGAAGTCTAAATGAAGCCGGTTGATTTTGTTTAATATATTATTTGGGGGCTCTTGGGGGGGGGCTTTTTTTTAATGGCAGCTGAAGTACATCTAAAGTCAGATGTACTTTTTCTGTATCTCGTGCACATAAGGGAAAATATTCTGGATGTCACTAGTTTTACTAAAGTCTCAAAGTATTCTTTGAATAATGTAAATAATTCACATCTGCTTGTTTTGTCACACTTACCTTTACTGTTTTAAAATCATAGTATTAAAGATGATAATTTATTTTATTCATAGGACCGGAAAATAGAAGATCTCCGACAGTGCCTGAACAAGTACAAGAAAATGCAAGACACGGTGTTACCCACTCAAGGTAAAAAAGATAGTGCTAAAGACTTTCTTTTCTTTTTTTTTTTTTTTTTTTTTTTTTTTTTTTTTTGGTCTTTTTTCATTTTTATCGGTACCAGGGATCGAACTCACGACCGCCTGCTTGCAAGGCAGGTGCTTATGCCGCTGAGCTAAACCCCCAGCCCTAAAGACTTTCTTTTCTTTCTTCCCCTTTAGTTCTAGGCAATAAACCCAAGGCTTTGCATATGCTGTGCTGTCACTGTCACTGAACTATATCTCAGCTTTTTTTGTTTTGTTTTTGAGACAGAGTCTCACCAAGTTGCTCAAACCAGCTTCAAATGTGTACTCTTCCTGCTTCAGCATCTGTAGGAAATGGGATTACAGGCATGCCTATGCCACACCTGGTAGACTTTTCTTCTTTACTTGATTTGAAGTGGCTATGAACTTACATTGGCCTGAATTTTCTTGCAAACCCATTATCCCAAATTTGGTAGCTCATTCCTCTAGTAAACAGCATTGTTGAGCAACTGTTCACTGCCAAAAATTGTACACGTAGGACTATGAGCAAGAATACCCTAGGGTTAGTTGATGATAGAGAGCATCTCTAAGTTGATTAGGTAGCATTCAAGAGAGCAAGAGAACAACAGCAAGAGCATGAGCCCTGGAGAAAAAAGTAGTTGGTATGTTTAAGAAGAGGAAAAGACTGGTGCATGTGGAAGGCAGGGAGAGTGCAGTAGCACTGAGATGAAGAGTGGCCCCAGTGGGTCAGTCATGCAAGGTGAGGTATTAAGCCCTTGTTCAATTGTGGAAGAACTCACTGAAAGGTTTCAGCAAGTCTACAACATGATGTTTGTAGCAAATAGAGCACAGGGAAGAACAGTATTTGGAGCAAGGGAAACAGACTAGGAGGCTTGTGGTGTTCCAGGTGGACAGAGTCAGGGAAACCAGGTCTGATCAGGAGTGTTTTACAATGTCAGAATCAACACAGCGGTGAGGTAAGTCAGAGAAAAGTGAGGAAGAGGAATGGTATCGAGAAAGATAGTTTTGGACTGCAGCAACTTGGCAGGTGATGGTTCCTTTTACCAAGCTTAGGGAAAAACATTAGATGGCTAAGGAGATGCACATGGAAGTTCCAAAACTCCTAGGAGACACCTAAATAAAGATGATTGTGGCCAGGCATGCTGGCTCATGTCTGTAATTTCCATACACTGAGAGGATAGAGCAGAAGATCATCTGGGCAACATTTATGAACTGGAAAGGACCCTGTCTCAAAATAAAAAGGGCTGAGGATGTAGCTCGGTGCAAAGACCCTAAACTCAGTTCCTATCACCAAAGAAAAGTACGTCCTGTTCCAGTAAAGATTATATAAACAGTGATTTTTTTCACTAGGATTTATGTTTGTTTATTAATCTGAACATAATTCTAATAACATCTAAGTTCTATTCTAGAAAAATTGAAATAAAATTCTAGTAAACCCTCAATTACAATTTATGTCTGGTTACACAAGTTTACATACAACATTGTTTCTCTTATGTGAGAAACCAAAAGTGTAAATAAGGAGCAAAACAGAGAATAGCTATTGGGAAATAAAAAGAACTTGTTTAAAAAGAAAGGGGAAAGGGAAGGAAAGGAAAAGAGATTTTTAAAAAGAGAAAGAAGGCCAGCGTGGTGGTGCATGTCTGTAATCCCAGCACTCAAGACGTTGAGGAAGGAGGATCAGTATAAGTTCAAGGCCAGCCTAGGCCATATAACTTGAGTTCAAGGCCTGAACTGTATGGAAAGACCCTGTCTCCAAAAAAAACAGAGACAGACAGACAGAAAATGCAAACAAAGCTTTTGTAAATCAGGAGGGGAAGAAATGTTTAATGGTGGAAAAAGGAATGAAAATAAAAAGAATCAAGATATATCATGTACAGGTACAAATTCCCCATGATGCATGTGATCATTATGTATGACAAGCATGTGCTGATAAAAAATAAAGATCAGAAAAAACTTATGTTTGGTTAAGATCTTTAAACAAGTACAATGGTTCCTTGCATCTTGGATGCTTTTGTTTGCAAACAGTTTGATTCTCGAACAAAAGCAGTTGACAAAATTTTCAAATTCGGCATTAGATAACAGACAAAACCAACATAACTGTAATCATCTCCAGAATTGTGGAACGAGTTAAGCTCGTAAGCCAAGTACCACTGTATATGATTTGCCAGTTAGTATTATTTAGAGATTAGATGATTACACACACTTGCAATCCCAGAATACAGGAGGCAGAGGCAAAAAGATGATGAGTTCGAGGCCAACCTGCTCTGCATAGCAAGTTCAAAACTGGTTTACACTGTATAGCAAGACCCATCTCAAAAACAAACAGCAAAGGTTTTAATCACTCTTTCTACTTTAAAAAAAAAAAAAAAAAAAAAAAACCTCAGAAGTTAATCCTTTTCATTTCTACATGTGAAAAAAATTTCTCAAAATTGCTGCTTTATTGAATATATGGTACTTCTCTAGTAAGTTGTTCTGTTTTGTTTTAAAGTGCTGTCAAAGGATTCTTTTGAGGTACTCAAAATCATCCTTTTTTTTCTATTTTCCTTTTATGAATTTACCAGAGCACAGCAGTGATGAAAAATAAGATGTTTAAATGATGACTCTGTTGCTATTCAGAATTAGTTTGTCGTACCAGTTATTCTGCACCTTGGCTTTTCCTAAACTAAAATTTATAAAGCCCCCAATTTTTAAAATATAATGAGGTTTTGTTGGAATAAATTACCTTTAAGGTGATGTTCAATCTTGTGAGTCAGTGATCCTATCACACACAATTTCCTCTGAGAGTACTATTACTGGGCATTCTGTGGCCCAAGACTCTTGGCCCTGAAGTGCTCACATCTCAGCTGCTGTTTCTTAGGTGTTCCACATTGCTGTTTTCAAGTGACACCAGAAAAAAGTGGACTGCTAAAGTGGGGGGATGGGGAGATTATAAGTCAGTAGTTAGAAAACTTGGTTAGCATGCATTAGACCCTGGCTCAATTTCCAGCACCACTGATCCCTCTAAAAAGAAAATGTTTGGGGTTTTGTTTTTGTTTTTGAGACAAGATCTCACTAAGTAGTTTGAGCTAGCATCAAACTCAGCGATGATCCTCCTGCCTCAGCCTTCTAAGTGCTAGGATTACAGGCATATGCCACCACACATGGTCAAAAGAAAATGTTTTATGTTTAATGTTACTACAATCCTTATTTTCCTCCAGAAGGCAAACATAAAAACTTGCTAGCTTCCTTTTGCTTTGTTGTTTTCTAGGCAAAGACGGTGAATATGAAGACCTGCTCAATTCCAGTTCCATCTCCACTGTGTTGGATACACAGAGCTTTAGTGATCTGGAGAAAAGTTCATTGACTTCTCCTATAACAGAGTCTCCCAGCCATGACCCATTTGACACAGGTATTTCAGAAGAGGTATGTACAGAGTGTTGGCATTTTCTTTTTGTTGAAGAGTCTGTGTCATTGAAAGTTCAAACAGCATTAGTAATATGAGCACATGCTTTATTTCTCAGTTTTCATTTGGTTCATTTTGGCAGTTTTCATCTCTTGCTCATTGGTTCCCCTGCTGCTTTTTTAAATGTGCATGGTCTCTCTCTTTTTAACAAACGCTTTGAACCATGTCAGAATTCCTTACAAAATTCAGGAAAAACAAGCTGGCATGGTGCCAGCATGCACCTGTGGTCTCAGCTATCTGGAGGGCTTAGGAGGAGGATCCCTTGAGTCCCAGAGTTCAAGGTCAACCTGGGGAACATGGATAGACTCTCAAAAAAAAACCAGTTATTTCAGGAAAAACATATAAATCCTTCAAAGGTACATATTTTAAATACAGGATTATAATCTATTTATTAAAGAATAAGTAGTGGAAAATAAAATGAGAGTACAGTGAGATATAAGTAAATATATTTTGGTCATTTCTGGTGACAATTCCACAAAATGACTGAGTAAAATTTCCCCTTGGTTTCTTAAACTGAGGGTAGTAAGCAGCTTAAACTCATTTTTATTGTATCACATTGTCCAAGAGGACAGGCATCCTCCAGCCTTACCTTGGAAGTCACATTACACCCCTTTTGTGGTGCTCATAGCCTGACCCAGATCCAAGGAGAGGGACATCAAGCCCACCTCTGAATGGACAAGTGGTTGCATCTTAAGAACCTGAGCAGAGGGATATGTTGGTGCAACCATATTTGGAAAAATCAAGTCTGCGACTCCATCCTTGGCTGCAACAGTTTACATCTCTGTCCCACGAAAAATAACAATCATCTCCTCTGTAAAGACCCCCAAATTTTATTCCAGTGAGGCACCAGCCTTCCAGGAACCAGTCATCCAGTTCAGAACAAGATGTGTGTGAAGTTGCTCAAGTGCAATTTGTTTAGGCACAGTTTCTTGACTATCATTCCAGTCAATTGAAAAGAGCTAGAAACTTTAAGACATGTTAATCTGTCTGGGTTAAACTGTCTTAGTTACTTTTTACTCATCGCTGACACAAAATACCTGAAGCCCAAATTTGGGAAAGAAAAGGTTTTTTTCTTATAGTTTTTGGAGGTTTCAGTCCACACTCACTTGGCTCCAAGGCAGGTGGGCATGGCTGGGCTGCAGTTCATGGCAGCCACCAACAGCCAGCCGGAACCAGCAAAGAGCAAGACACAGCTTCTTCCTTCCATTACATCACATCCTGGCTCCACCCCTAGGTGGGTGGAGCACTGACACCATCAATCCAAGCACTATACAATGAACCATCACAAATGAACAATGCAAACTCATGAGGCCTGGGGGACACAAACATAAACCATGACATTCCACCCCTGGTCCCCAGGACTCATGTACATCCTTTATACAAAAGATATTTGGCCTACCTCCAAGAGTTGCCAAAGTCCTAACAGTTTCATCATTGCTGAAAAGTCCAAGTCGCAATTCTCCTCCAAGATCTATGGCAAACTCTTTAACTGTAACCCCCTGTACAAATGAAACAAGGTTAAACATTTCTGAAATGCAAAGGTACAACATAACCATTACCATTCCAAAAGTTATAAACGGGAATATAAAGTATTGGAAACAAAGCAAGTCCAACATCCAGCAGGGCATACATTAAGTCCTAGAGTTCCACACTCAGCATCTGAAGCAATCGGGTTGCAAGCTCCAAAAGGCTTGGGTGATTCCACCCCCACAGCACTTCCAGGGATTTCAGCTCCTGCAGCTTTTCTCTTAAATCCTCTCTGCTCGCTTTTTGCAGCTTTCCTTGGATCACCCACATTCCTGGCTTTTCCAATCTTCTGGGGTCTCCACTGCACCTTTGGCTTCACCTTTACATCTTCACAAATTGCCCTCTCAGGGCACACTGCTTGGCCTCCCAGGCCCTTTGCAATCGAGGTGGAAGCCTTCTTACCCTCAGAATTGATGCATTTTCCTTGTACCTAAAATCAGCATCTTGTGGATGCCGCCAAGGTTTGCTGCTAGCTGAAGTAGAAGCCAGGCTTTTCTCTCTCTTGGCTGTAGGAGTCAGTTGCCTGGATCGCAGGGCTCTGTTTGCCTGATTGTGAGAAAAAGCTTCTCTACATTGCCACCATTCTAGAACCTCTTGTGGCCGCTGTCGCCATTTTGGAATTTTATGTGGCCGCTGTTGCCATTCTGGAACATGGCGCTCTGCAGCTTTTCCCTCTGAGCAAATTTTTTAACCTTTGCTGTGAGGCTGCAAAGGGTGGGGATGCGCTTCCTGGGATGCCCCAAGGCCATCTTTCTTATCTCTCTGTTTCTCCTCAGGAATCAAAATCTCAACTCTGTCTTTACAATCCACAGCCTTCCTGGAATTTTCCTTCTGGCCAAACTCACAGCATTGTAAATTATCCTGCTGGGCTCTTTGCTCTTGATTTGAAACATAAAGCTCACTAAAAGCCACCAACAATAGCCATGCCACAGCCTCAACATTAGATTGCTTTTCAGTTTCTTTTTCAAGATTAATCAGTCCATTGCCCTTTGTCTCAGTCTCAGGCAAAGTCTCTGGGCAAGAGCAAAATGCAGACAAACTTTCTGCCAAGCCATAACACACATCATGTGGAGTCCAACCTTCAATGCAGTCCTTCCCAGCACAAACCTCCCAAGTCTGGTCTTTACCATGAGGCTTTTTATCAGCCTCTGGTCTCTGGAGCTCTGACCAGAATCTCCTCTACAGAGCAGCCTAAGCTATTCCAGCTCTATGCATCCAGGTGACACGTCCAAACCTTTCCAAACTGTGCCCACAAGCAATTTCCAAAGCCTCGTGAAAAACATGGCCAGGTATAGTCACAGCAAACGATCCCACTCTCAGTACCAAATTCTGTCTTACTTTTTACTCGTCGCTGAGACAAAATACCTGAAACCCAAATTTGGGAAAGGAAAGGTTTATTTCTTACAATTTTTGGAGGTTTCAGTCCACACTCACTTAGCTCCAAGGCAAGGTGGGCATGGCTGGGCTGCAGTTCATGGCAGCCACCAACAGTCAGCCGGAACCAGCAAAGAGCAAGACACAGCTTCTTCCTGCCATTACATCACATCCTGGCTCCACCCCTAGGTGGGTGGAGCACTGACACCATCAATCCAAGCACTATACAATGAACCATCACAAATGAACAATGCAAACTCATGAGTCCTGGATGCCACAGACATAAACCATGACAGATACCCAGCACATAGTGCTGGGAACAACATCACAAGTAACTGCTATGGGCATTTTCAGTGAAGAAGAAAGGAAATTGAAAGCTCTCAAGTGCCCCTAATCTATAGCAATTCCTGAGCAAAGCTAGGCTCCTGTTGCTAGTTCCCTTAAAGGGACCTGGTACACTGGGCCCTGTGTACTTCCTCCAAGTCCTCTTTCCTTCTCCCTCCAAATATTTGCAGATGAGTATCTTCCTTAGCTTTGAGCCTATAAACATGCCCTAGAGGTTCAAAGCCACCTTTTCATTTGTACTACCTTTGTCCTTTTGTATCTGATTTGCAATAATACTTTAAACATTTAGAATGTTGTAAGAATCCCTATGTAATCTACTCCATAAGATAAGAGCATGTCCACACATATCTTCACAGTAAGCCTTTCTTGGCCTTAAGTTCCCTGTAAGGCCACAGCCAATTACTTTTAGTCTTTTTAAAAGGTTCATTGTAGCAATGCAACTCTCAATCTTTCTGCTGTTTAAACAAAAGATTTAGATCCTAGTAGTCCGGAAGCTATGGAACTACGATTGCTGTGAGTTTGAGGTCAGTATGGGCAACATTGAATACAGTGGCAGTCTCAAAAACCCAGAATCAAAAGGTTTTACAGGCATACTGTTAACTTCACTGAGACCATCTGGTTTCCTAGTGTTGTTTGATCTTTACTCTGAAGTTATATCTTAATTTACTTTAAATTGCTATGTAGGGAAACTACAAATAGGAAATAGTTTTATTCAACTAAGCAACAACTTTGGTCATCTCTTCTGTCATATTTCACAATAGGCTGTGAGAAGAGACCAACAGACAGGACCTTATTACTCTTTACTATTTATTTATTTATTTATTGATTTATTTATTTATTCATTTATTTTAATTAGTACTGGGAATTGAACTCAGGACCTCACGCTTGCCACACAGGCACTTGTGCCGCTGAGCTAAACCCCAGGCCCTATTATTCTTAACTGGTACTAATAATTGCATAAGAATGTAAAATTCAGAATGAATAAAAATTAACCCAATTTCTTTCATAAATGTCCAAGTGGCTTAAAATCTCTTATTAAGCAAGAAATAAGAAATACTTTAAAGGGGGAAATCCCCAATCTGTTAAAAATGCATATATATCTGTACTGAAGGGGAAAACATTTGACAGCAGTGAGTGCACCACCTTTGTAGAGATTGCTGTCACATGTAGGACTGTGTCTAGATAGTCTCAGAGCCTTCAAAGACTTTGCTGCGTAAATTCCCATTTAATGATAGATTTATACTTTGGAGCAGAAATGATTTGATGAGAAGTGAGGGAGTTCAGCTGCATTTTTAAAGAAAAGCTAAAAGATGTGAGGTAGAAATGAAGGTTTAAAAGTTTGAAAAATCAAATAAATCAAGTAATTCTGTAAAAATCAAGAAAATGGGTCAGTCTTTTAGTGTAGTTATTTTTTCCCCATGATTAGGAATAAAAAAAGATGTATAAGGCATAGGAAACAGACATTATTATGACTGAGTTGTCCAGGGTTAATTATTATAAGATTCAAGACGAAAAAACTAATAGTAAAATGATACATATCCTATTTCATAATAAGACTTCACATTTCCTGTGCTTTCACATTTGATGTCCTTTTGTTGAGGGAGAGGGTTGCTAGGGTCTGAACCCACAGGTAGGCAAGAGATCTGCCATTGAACTACCCCCCCCCATAAACTAAGGAAGAAATAACTACTCAGTAATTGAAACAAAAATCACAAAGCTGAATTCACTACTTACTTAACCAAGTAAGCTTTGTTAGCAAGCACATTCTGCTCAGATTGGTAACATGTAGTTTTTAGGATGCTTGGAGCTCAGGCAGGCAGAAGTAAGTTGAGCATAGCTGTTAGTATGTAGTTACTAAGTTGAGACTGCTGCTAATTGGTTGACACACAGAACTCAGTTCACTTGCATGATGGCTCACACCTATAATCCCAACACTCCAGGAGGCCAAGGAAGGAAGATCAAACATTCAAGCCCAGCTTGAATAATTTAGCAAGAACTGTCTTCCAATAAATTTTTTAAAAAGGATGGGGGATATAGCTCAGTGTGAAGACCCTGGATTCAGTCCACCACTACCACCACCATCCCCACCACCACCACCAAAAGAAAGAAAAGATTGTGTTCATTAATACAAGGCCTTACCTAGCTGAGGTTCAGAAGTGAATTGTGATTGATCAGTTGACTTGCAGTTTACTTTCTGGTCATTTTCTTACTGAAATACCTTTTAAAGAATTTGATGTATTATTTGTGGACCATAATTCAGCTGTTCTCCAATTGTTATAAGTTATTGAAATCTCAAGTACTAAAATTCTTACACAGAATCCAGACCTAGAATACACAAAGCATTTGAAAAAAAATTTGTTAAGCATTTCATTTGTTGCTCTAATATCAGTAACAGTGTTTAAAGTAGTTACTACAAAGTACTTTGAAATTGTTTTTCATTACATTTTTTTGTCAATTCTGTTAATTAAAATTAGCCAGCTTCTTCACATTGAATATAGTAATTAACCAGACCAGTGTTTCATACTGGATTAGTGGGTGAAATTAATTAAACAGTGCTTTATTCATAGAATAATGTATTCAGCTTTAGTATTAAATCATTGCACCCCTCTGAGCAAGTGTCATTTATTTATATTTACTTTGTGTTTTGCTTGTTTGTTTTGTGTTTGTGTGGGTTGTTTTGGGTGGTTTTGTTTGTTTTTACTTTTATAATTATATTACAGCTCCACACCAGCATCTTGCAAGTTTCAATCCCTTCATTATTGCCAACATCCGTAGGCGTGGAAACTGCTGAAAAATCAAAGTTGCCTCCTAAGCCAGAGACTTCATTTGAAGAGAAGTATGTTACTCCCAATCTAACACTGCAATGTAAATGTTAATAAAAAGTCAACCAACCTAAACCAAAAGAACAAGAAACAGGAAGGCATGTGTGTGGGAACCTGTGGTCACTGTATTGTTACTGAAGTAGAAAGTATGAAGTAGGAATAATAGGACCTGAGCCTGGGGAGGTGAGGTAGCCAGGTTAGAGAGGGATTTCAGAGAACTTGGATTTTACTTCCTATGTCATAAGTGGCCATCAAAGAGCTGTAGCAATATAGTAACATCCATGTGCCACAAGCTATTTTGGAAGATGACTATAAAGAAAATAGAAAAGTGATATAGTAGTTTCTGTATAAGCAAATAGATTTTTTTAAACCAGAATGTTTCCAAATTAATTGCCGAATCTTACTTTAGGACAAATAAATAAAGCTTTAAATAATAGAAATAGCTTCCTTTACACATGGTTTTTGGTTTTGACAATTCTATTCTCTTAGAATATAACTAGTCCCCTACTTATGCTGTTCAGCAGAACAGTTTTCAACTTCACAATTGTGCAGATTATTTTCAGCATAATATTCAATAAATCACTGGAGATACTCAGTACTTCATTATAACATAGGCTTTGTGTTAGATAGTTTTGTCCAACTGTAGATTAGTATATGCATTCTAAGTATATATAAGGTAAAATAGCCTAACCTATATAATTAAGTATATAAGGTATAAAGAAAACTCTGACAAATATTTTAATTTATTATAGTGAAAGACACATTTTACCACTGATTCCTCTCAAAATACTTCCCCTTGCTTTGAACACACCCATTCTTCCCACTTTTTGAAGCAGTTCTGAAAGTCCTTTTCTGTGAGTGTCCTTTATTGAACGGTCCTGTCTGCCTCAATGTCCTGAATCAATTCAAAACATTTATGACAATTTCTGTTGTATAAAAGCATTACAACAGTTTGCATCTTCTTTATCGAACAGATCTAGCATCATTCCACTTCTGGCTCTTCCCCAAAGTCAAAATGGCCATGCACTTTGAATCCATTCAAGACTTGAAGGTAGCCATGAGAGCACAACTGAAGTCTTAATAAAGGAGGACTCTAGAACTGCTCAGCACATGGCAAGAATGATGAGATACCTGTGTTCAAAATGAGGGAAAGTATTTTGAGAATCAATGGCAATGTGTCTATTACTGCAATAATTACTTTTAATTCCAACATTCACTAGCCTTTGTGATTATGCCTCATAGTAAATGCATTTTTTGGCCTAGTGATATTTTCAGCTAAAATTGATTTATTGAAACCTGAACACCTATGTAAGTCAAGGAGCATCTGTATGGTCTTTTATTCATGACATTAATAAATACTTTTGTTTTAACATTTTAGTGATGGAAAAATGACCCTTGGTGCTGCTGTTGAAACCCAGCTGGGTGATAGTGTTTTGTAAGTTATATATTATTGAATACAAAAAGTGTAACTAAAGCTTGAGAAAAAAGAGAGTCTGTATCACTAGCAGTAATCAATATTAACAGTCAATGATGGAAGCTATTAAAGTGATGAGCAGGGCTAGAGATTTAGTTCAGTGGAGTAAGCACCTGTCTAGCAAGCGTGAGCTCATAAGTTCAATCCCTAGTACAAAAAAAAAAAAAAAAAAAAACTTAAATTTTGGGCTAAGGATTTAGAATAAGTACCTGCCTTGCAAGCGCGAGGTCATGAGTTCGATCCCCAGTATCTAAAAATAAAGTAATGAATAACTAATACAATTTTATGATGCAGTTCAGATGATTAGGTGGGAGTAGACAGTTGTAAGTTTGCCTGCCTCCCTTCCAAATTTTTTTAAAAACTTATTTTCTCATACCAACTATTTTGCAGATCTTTGGCCTTCTTTCAGCATGTTTTTACTTCAGTGTCTTTAATTCATTTCTGTACTGGCATACATATATGTGATATATAATATTTTTTTAACTGTACTGAGGGTTGAACCCAGGGCCTTCTCACTGAGCTATATCTATAGATCTTTCTTTTTATATTTTATTTTGAGACAAGGTCTCCCTAAATTGCTTGGGCAGGGCTGGAATTTTCAGTCCTTTTGCCTCGTCCTCCCATAGTGCTGGGATTACAGGCATGTGTGTCACCATGCCCAGCTTGATTTACATTTTTGATTCCCGCAGAAAGAATCCCAGAGAATTCTATGGTGGCTGAAAAGCTGAATTTGTAGGGATTTTTTTCTTTACTTTCAATTTAATAAACTGACAATTTGAATGTCTATCCAAGTTAAAGTCTGGATAAAATTAGGAAACTTTTCAGAGCCACACTCAAAGATGAAATTGTTTCTTTTTTTCACTATATTTTTTACTTTATTTGATAGTGAATACTTTCTAGCAACTTAATAAATGTAATTATGGGAGAAATCCCTTTTAGACGTTTGTGTATTTATTATTAAGCTAGCTAGCTACCGTCTGTCTCTGTCTGTCTCTTGTCTGTCTGTGGTGCTGCAGATGAAGTCCAGGGCCTTTCACATGCTGACTGTGTGCTTCATCACTGAACTGTGTCACCAGCCTTCTTTCTGGTTTAAATTGGTCACATGTTCCTGGCTTCAATTCTTCAATCAGGCCATGTCAGGATCTATGTATAGCTGAATGCCAATTATATGAAAGAGAGTGTCTGTGGCTATGTATACTAGCAAATGAATGACTGAGGAACAGTAGGCATTTCCTCTATTATGCATTGGTCATAACTATAAAATGAATTGTTTTGCCAGATTTAGAGTCAGATTCCAGTGAATTGAAAAATAAAACCTTTGTTCTTTATTTTAATTGTAAGTAGATATAAAGAAAATAGAAGTATTTAAATTTTCTGATAAATCTGTATATGGAAAGGATATACAAGTAGTCCATGGAAAATACTGGTTTATTTTCAAATGTGGACATCATAGGGATAGTCCTAAGTGTTTTTCCAGTTATTTTAATATGTGGCATATTAAGTTATTGGCAGGACAATTAACCACCCTTTCTTTTAAAAGAACTAAATGTTATAATTTAGTTAAGCACATAAGTGACTGCGTGATTCCAGCTTTTTCTTTTATTGCCAGGACTCAACCCACATACAATTTAGTTTCTTCCTGAGATGCTCCACTTAAAAACAGATGCACCAGAGCTACTTTTTATTGATCCTAATTATCATTATTATTTTTAGAACTTCAAGTTGGCAGAAATCCAACAGCCTGGGCAATCTGAAGAAAGAGGCATCAGAAGTGGTTGGTTTTGTGTTTTTCTTTTTTCTTTTAATCTAAGAAGGAAATATTTAAGGATCTTTAACTTTTCCCGCTTTGCAAATAAAACTCAGAAAGAGCCTATAGTTTCTTTAATGAAAAATTGCGACTATAGTGTAGCTAATGATAAATATTAAGTATGAATATAAAAGGTTGAAAGTATTACATAAAACTAAAAATGGAGGCTGTAGTGAAATAAAAAAATAAAGTAGAAAATGAATGAAACTAAGGTTTTGTAACTTAGAAGTAATGTAAATTTTTTTTTATTTATAAAAGTGTATGTGACAAATTCTGAGCATACAAAGGAGTCCTAAACAACCTTAAATGTTGTTTTGAACAGGAAAAGGAGTCTATTCAGAAGCCTTTAGAGGTAACTTTAATATCCAAATTAAAATATAAAATTTTTTTTACTTTCGTTACATTTAAAAAGCCTAAATATCTCCAGTAGTCCAGGTCTCAGACCCACTAAAACGTCATGTTAAATCAAAGAAGCCAGGTACAAAACTTAGGTATTACACAGCTCCATTTCTTTCCAGAGTAGGTAAGTCCATAGAGAATGCAGACTGGTGGTTGCTAGTCGTGTGAGGAGAGAATGTGTAGTGGTGTGGGTTTTCCTTTAAAATGATACAAACACTCTGGAACTAGATACGGGCAGTAGTTTTACTACATTGTGAAGGTACTAAATGCCACTGAATTGTCCACTTTAAATAGTTGATTTTATGTTATGTGAATTTCATCTCAATCAGTTATTAAAACAAAACCATGAACTTACAATATGCTGTATCATCTTTCAAATAACCAATCACTGGGGTTCTCTAGGCTTCACAAAAAGCCTAAAGATCAGTAGTAAATGATTAGTAGTTTATGTTATACAACCATTGCCCATCTGAGCAAATGCCTTAATATTTTTAAAGACCTTATCAGTACACTTCTTTTTTTCCCATGAAAAAAAACAGTGTCCTCCACCCCCTTCTGGGAAGGTTGGAGACAACTAGCATATTAAGATCTTTTTTGTTTTGTCACTTCAATAAATGGCTAAAAGATTTTGATATTGTTGAGATATAGATAATAAAACTACTATATTGTACTGTCAACTTTTAGTTACCACAAACAGTAGGTATTTCAAGTAAAATCATCACTCTAAATGCCTGTCTCCCCTCATGTTTTTCCCAATCTCTGCAAAAGAAACAGAAAACAAGAGAAAGCTGGGTATGGTAGCACATGCTCATAATCCCAGCAGGCAGGAGGAGAGTGAGGCATGAGGATCACCCTAAGTTTGAGGCCAGCTAGTGAGTTCAAGACCAGCTTGTACTACATAGCAAGACTGTTTCAAAAAAAAAAGAAAAAAAAGCAAGAGATATTAGAAAAATGAGAAATGAAAACATGCAATCAAAACTTTCTTTGGGTAGTATTAAAACAGTGTAACATACTACAGCCCTATATTTGCTAATTCACATGACTAAAATATACAACTGGTTGTTTTATCTTCATTTTATTATTCTTTGAGAAGAATGTTTAAAATAACTGGAGTGGAATCTCCTTATCCTGTAAATATAAAAGCTTGGGCTGATGCCTGCTTCATAGAATTAATTATATTTGGTTTCTGTTGATGTAGTTATATTACAAGAATATGAATTGTATTGCAGCTGTGTATCATAATTGCTAGAAAAGTGAGAAATCTATTACTAGCTGTGTTATATCTTTAATCCATATCTTTTGAGGAACTGGCAAATAAAATTTGAGAGTTTCTATCTTAAAGATTTAAAGCCCTAAACACAGAGATTAGATTAGTGATAGACATGTTTGTGTTGTTGCTGTTTTTGTTTTTAAACTAGCCTTCAGAATGGATTTTTTAACTTACAATATGGCATTCAATTTTGTTTATCAATGTGTTACAACAGTTGCTGTTTTAAACACAGTCATCTACGTAACGTAATCTAATGTTTAGTGTGGATCATGGTGTCCTAATGATTAATCATATTAATGCTCTGCTCATCATTGTCACCCTGTCTCAGGATAAAGCTCCAGGAGGAAACAACATGTTTGGTAGCCTCCCTCCCAAAGCTCCAGGACATGAAGTCTCTGTGGATGACAATGCTTTTGGCACTCGAAAAGTCAGATCTTCCTTTGGTCGAGGTTTTTTTAAAATCAAAAGTAACAAGAGGACAGCAAGTGCACCAAACTTGGGTACGTGTAGCCTGATCTTTCAGAAAGGGGAGAAGATAAACTTCTTCCCTTCCCTTGTTCATTTATATGTTCATTTCCTTTTCTCAATGAGTTGGTTGAAAAGTAAGCAAAAGGCCTCAGTGGATTTAATTTAGCACTGTGAAGATAAATTGCCTCTCTCTGTCAAACTCTGTCCTATGGTATGAAGAGCGGAAAGACCTAAATCTGTGATTCTCTTTGATTCTATTATACATAGTTGCCCATCTATTTTGGTAGTGCCCAAGTTAAGCCCCTGTTGACAGTGCTCATGGAATCTCTGTGCTGCCTCAGGAGCACAGGACCTGCCTCTCCTCCGCTGTGTGTTTCTTGAGGAAGTGTTTCTGATCTGTGTTTCATTTTGTCCTCCCCTTTTGTTCTCTCCATTGGGTGTGTGATTGTGTGCATTGTTGGGATATCTGAAGATCGTAAACGAAGTGCCAGTGCACCCACCCTAGGTATTGTACCCCTGCATGCCAGCCTTCGCTAGTGCTGTATTCCAAGCCCATCTAATCCTATACTTGGCCTCTGTGATCTTTAGAAAGCAAGCTGGCAGCAGTCAAAAAATGTACTTCTCTACTCCAGTGTTTTTCCATCTTCTACTAAAAAAGGACTCCATGGGGCCTTTGCTTCCAAGGCTGCATACCATATTAACCAGTGCTGTTGCCATCTCATGAGGCCTTAGAAGTGCCTGGTGGCCCACAGAGGGCAGAGCAGGAATGGCCTGGCATTGTGGCTCGCAACTCTCTTGTCTTTGATGTATATACTAACTTTCAGACCTTTATAGTCCCTCCTCCTTCGGTACATTTTTCTTAGCTTCCAAAAAGAAATGTTTTTAGCTAGGCAAGGAAGCTATAGGAGACACTAAAGATGATAGCTTAGACTTAACTTCAATGAGAACATTCTTCTGACGTTTTATTGCTTTGAAGATTGAGATAATAGGGGCTGGGGATTTAGCTCAGCGGCATAAGCGCCTGCCTTGCTAGCAGGCAGTCGTGAGTTCGATCCCTGGTACCGATAAAAAAAAATGAAAAAGACAAAAAAAAAAAAAGATTGAGATAATGCTTAGTTATGGCAGAGATAACTTTACATATTATCAGAGGAGTTATCCCTAAAGTGATTTTTGGAAACTCACTTGTTTTTTGTTTGTTTGTTTGTTTGTTTGTTTGTAGTACAATGTACAAACAGTAAAGATGTCCTCAACAGAAAAACCACTGATTTTTCATAAATCAGAGTGGGCTGTGCAACATTTTCAGGGGTACCCATACCCATTTTGGCTGCTGGCTCTGAATAGGTAGAGTCCCTTGGGTTGTCCTAATAGGTGCTGTTACTATAGATAGGTAAACACCTATCTACTCACACAAACCGGCAGAAATGATGTTGTCCCTGTTACCTTAAATGGCTAGAGTGAGTGCTAGATACATAAATTGACCTTTTCAGACAACTATTTCAAATAGTTCTCCACATTTTTCTTAGAAGAACTGTGTTGTCAGTGCTTAAAGACAAATGCTGCTTACTGTAACCTATAATCACAGCCCTGCTTCATAGAAAAGTGAACTTCTACAACCTGTGTATTTTACTAAAACACTGTTCCTGAGATATTTGCACAGCTTTTATTTTTCTTTATAAAATGTAAAATCTTATATTGAAGAAACCACTAAGATATAAAATAACTAAAACATTGCACCCTTGGAGATCTAGCAATGGCTAGTGGATTTTTTTCTTTTAAAGGCAAAAATCAATATATACTAATTTTATGTCAAGAGAAAACTTATATTTACCCAGTTTATTGCTTTCCCAGTGCCTTGGAATAGTTTTTTTTTTATCCTATACTTGATAACAGAAATCTTATACTTGATAACAGATGTCTCTAAATGCCAACGGAAAAGAATAGGTAAAAAGAAATGACACAGTTTGGACTAAAATAACAGAGGTAATATTACGTAATACTAATTAAAGATCAAATAAAATAATTTGAGACAGGAAACATTGAAAGCAAGGGATGGATTAGTTGAGTCCAGATGTCCCAGTACATTGAATTGACAGTATGACAGACAGACATTCAGATATGAGACTGAGGAGAAAGATTAGGCCCAGAGATTTTGATGCCACCTCCTTATAATGAGTAAAGCCATCTTTCAGTGCTGAGTTTAGAGTGGGTGAGCTTTTTAAGAGATCCTTACAATCTTAGCAAGTAATGGAGGTGAGACTTAAAAAAAAAAAAAAAAACAAGTTTCCAAGCCAGGAAGAAATTGTCAAGGGACAGATCTAGGAGAGTGTCACGACAAAAATAAAGGGAAATGATGATTTTAAAGAAGGAGGTACTCAACAGTACCAAGTAATAGAGCAAATTTGAGAATAATTTCATTATAAAGTCACATCACGCAAGGGAAGAATGAAGCCATCCTGTTATATGTTTAGTCTCAAAAGAGTCACAATTTTTAATTGTTTTTATAGAGAAGAGAGTAACCTAGAATGTACATTTACATTCCATTTTTCATATTTACAGTATTCTCTGTAAATCACTGACTTAGAACAACAGAATTCTTAGCAGTTGCAAAAACTAAGAAGGTTAAAATCTGATCATGTTCATTTCATATGGTTAGACTTAATTCATCAAGTCTTTATTCTCTCATGGAATAGCTGAAACGGAAAAGGAGACAGCAGAGCACCTGGATTTAGCTGGCACATCTTCTCAGCCCAGAGATTCACAAGGAAACAGTACCTTCCAGATGTCTCCACTATCTCCAGATTCCAAAAAGAAATCCAGAGGTATCATGAGACTCTTTGGAAAGTAAGTAAAAAAGTAAACAAGTAGAGTCAGTCTTGTGTTATATGTTGCTCAAATTTAGGGACAAAGGGGAAATTGACAGAAAATAGGAATGAAATTGTAAGGCTTTTATGTTCTCTTTTGTAAGAAAAATGGTGATTTTGGATCCATTAATTATTGCACTGGGTCTTAGAATTTAAATTCAAATATCTATGTTAACTGCATACACAGATGAACTATTCAAATGTACATACCGTAAGTTTAAAGCTTTGATTAATTTTAAAGTCTAAGTCTTCCTCAGATTTAATCATGGCCATATGTGTTGTATCTTTTTCAGACTCAGGAGAAGTCAGTCAACTACGTTCAACCCAGAAGACATGTCTGAACCTGAATTCAAAAGAGGAGGGACAAGGGCAACTGCAGGTCCTCGATTGGGTTGGTCTCGTGATCTGGGACAGACTAACAGGTAAAAACAACCAAATAGGCATAGGCATTATGATAACCATTATTGATCTTGTTTTGAAGTCCTGTGTCACACTGTTTTGTTTTGATTGGCTTTATTCTGTTTTATTTTGCTTGGTTTTATTCTTTTTAAAATAAAAATCACACACACACAAAAAGCAACCTAATGAATGGGCTTTATCATCTTTACTCAAGTGTCAAGGCCTTGTGAATACCTACATTGTATTGTCACAGGAAATAAAGTCATGGCTTCATTGCCATGCCTTAGGGAAGGGTTCACCCTATTTAGAGTGGTGCAGTTTGTCAATGGTTAATGATAACTGCTCAGAAACTTGAGCCCTGGTGATCTAGGTACAGAACCAGAGCTAAAGTGTCAGTGTCAGCAACATTCATAGTATATAATTCTTGGGCTTAAACTTTACATAGGCAGCAATTATATTAAGCATTCAAAAAGCAGAAAGGTAGGATTACATAGTGGTTCAAAGTAGGTCCTAGAGGCTGGCGAGGTATCTCAGTCGGAGAGCACTTGTCTAGCATATGCAAGGTCCTGCATTCAATCTCCAGTGCCACACAAACAAACCCCCAAAAAAAAGTAGATTCTAGAGAGGCTGCTTAGATTTGGTTTCTGGTCTTCCTACTTTCTACCAGCTGGGTAACCCTGAGCAGTGACTCCCATGCCTCAGTTTTATCATCATCATCATCTTTATAATTAGTATGAACCTATCCCAAAAGGTGTTTATGAAGATTAAATGGGTTATAATATGTTAAATAGCAACTGTTCAGTAAACATTAAAGATTAATGAACCTGAAAGCACTAAAAGACATAAATTCTATCAGTTCTTAGGTATAATGTTTTACTTATTAAGACTACAAGATCTTTTCCTATATCCTTACTAAAGTATAGAACTGATTTGGAATCAAATACTCTCTTACACTGAGCATAAAAGGTGGCATTGGTAAACCTTGGTACAGTGCAAAGTGTGACACTAAATCTGATAAAAACATGATGGACTGAAACCTTTCCTACACAGCCCTTCCCACACAGGTGAATACTGGGTGTAGTTTTCATCTAGGAGGAATCTTTCTTTGGCCTTCTTCAAATAGTGAGTGTTCTCATTTGCCTTATGAACATCTTTGAACATACTAAAGGACTTTTCTGTGCTACCATAAAAAAAGAGAGAAAAGTTGTGTTCTTCCTCACATTTATTTTTCACATCAAAGCACTACAGTGTCTGTGCATCTGAGTAAAACAAAATAAATTGTTTTGATTACTGTTTACTACATTTAGAGTACGTCCTTATTGATTATCAACTCAAAGACACCATAATTTTGCCAAAATTATTTCAAGGTAAATTTGAGTGCTACTGGGTGTTTTGTATTTGGGGATCTAATCTTTCAACCACATCAGTTGAATTTGGTTCAGATGTTGGTTCTACTTGATGTTTTTTTGTACAACACATTTTTTTCATATTTATTCATGGCCAAATATGTATTCATCAGGGACTTTCCATGTCTAATGATAAGACATGGAGTTGGCTCTAAATTGTTTTTCATGCAGTGGTTTGTTTTCCTTTAGTGATTTGGATATGCCTTTTGCCAAATGGACCAAGGAGCAAGTTTGTACTTGGCTGGTGGAGCAAGGGTTAGGGTCTTACCTGAATTCTGGCAAGCACTGGATTGCATCTGGCCAAACCCTTTTGCAGGCTTCTCAACAAGATTTAGAAAAGGTGACTGCTTCTTTGTTTACAAAATATTGATAAGAGAAAGAAAATATGAATGTAGAATTGTGTTTTATTACAGAAAGGGACATGGGTAGTCATTGTTACAGACTCCTGAATTTAGCTTTCAACTGTTTCCTGCTTATTTTGCCTTATATGCTTGAAAGGAAGAGCTTCATCTTGATGACTTTTTTTATGGAACACTTGAGCCACTAACATTTTAATGAATAATTATATAGCCATAATAATAAGGTTTAAGTTCATATTCATATTTCTCAAAATCATTTTGTGACATTATTGAGTTATATTTCAATTTCAAATTACATTTCAACATTTTAGTTTTAATAGGAAAAAAGCATCCTATATTTTATGTCCTAGTCATTTAACATTTTGCACAAAATAAGAGTAAAATTTTTATTTCGTGTACTGTAGGTCCTATCTTACAAAGAAAATAAGTCACTTGGGAATGTCTAACACGCCACTGAATGAATTACGGTGGGCTTGGATCTCTAGAGATACCTTAGTTTGTAGCATTTTTATGAACCCCAGTCAGTGAATAGTCTAATTTAATGTACAGTTGGGTTTTGAAGGAGTTCCCATTTTTTTGCCAGTCTATCCAGCCTGCACAAATAGAATTGTAAGTTCACTGTTTCTGTTTTATCACATCAGGAACTTGGAATCAAGCATTCACTTCATCGAAAGAAACTCCAGTTGGCATTACAAGCCCTAGGATCTGAAGAAGAAACCAATCATGGAAAGCTGGATTTCAACTGGGTCACGAGTAAGAAGTTTTTATTCTTTTTTTTAAAGGAAAAAGAAAAAAACAGAACAGAACAAAACAGTGTAAGGGTACAAGTAATATAGAACTACAAAAAGAAAAAAAAAAACAGTAAGATACCACCAGTTAATAGATTATACACTGTCATCTTTGAAACGGTGATTCAGGTGCATACAAAGTGAACATTCAAATAGTGAGACTGCAAATAGTTGTGTTCAATGATCCAATCAAAAATATTAATATGGTCATCTATTTAACACACCTAAACACACTTGCTGTTGTATCCTTTTGGGCACTTTTTTTTTTCCTCTCTTTATTACAACATAATTTACACATTTTGGGTTTTATTGCTCCCATAGATCTTATTACTTTTTTTGTAAGAGAATAAAATCAAACATGATAAAACAAAGCTGTCAGTCAAAACCAAGGATAGGCATAGCACATGTTGTAAAAACAGAATACAAGGTTATCAACAATGGTTACCATGAAGTTTTTAGTCTTAAAAATAATAATAATTAATACTTCTTTCTTTTTGTTTTCATCACAAAAGGTGTTTTGTAGTATGGTAATGATATTGCTTTGTCTCTTTTAGGATGGCTGGATGATATTGGTCTTCCCCAGTATAAGACCCAGTTTGATGAAGGCCGAGTAGATGGTCGAATGTTACATTATATGACTGTTGTAAGTGTTCAGCCTGGAGTTGGAGAAGTAGGATAGTAGACAGTTAGTAATGTTGAGAATTTCAACTATTACTAACATATTTTTAAAATATTCTTAGCTTCTCCCTCTTTTCCTTCTCTTCCTCTTTCTTTTCATCAGTAAGAAATGTGTTAACAGTGTACTTACAATAGATGTTTCCTTGTTTTCTGGGAGTGTTTAGAAATGGACTGGTGCTTATCTTGACACTTCTGAAATAATTTGTTTGGGTGTGTTGAATATATTTGGAAATGTTCCCAGTAGCCATGCAAAATTTTTCCTTAAAGGACTGATTAGTGATAAATGTTGATACAATTTCATCTCGTTTCTTTTTTACTCCCACTGAATAATGTATTCCAAAATTAGTCACACCAAGTGCTGAGGAAAGTGTAATGATCTGGAACCAGAGAACTCTTAACGGCCAGGAAATAGTCTACTAAGAGCATTCTTGATTTTCCTCAATATATACACCTCAGTATGGAAAACCAGTCCATGATGATGAATGTACATCATTGGCTCTCACAGTATCTATGGGCTGAAAAGAAAAAGAAAAGCCCATATCTTTATGGTAGATCATGTATGGTAGCTACATGGTAGCCTATTGTCTTTAATTGGGCTTAAGTATCTCTTTACCTGTAGACAGAGTTCTGAAATCCAAAAAGAAAGCAGAGAAATTCCTTTGTTTGCAATATGTGTAAATTAAAACACATTTGTTTGGTAATGTACCTCAATAGTGGAGCACATGCTTAGCCAGCACTAATATCAACAGTGAACAAAAATAATACTGTCTTTTGTAATGATCCAACAAATGCTTTTCACACTGTTTATCAGAGCCTTGGAATTCCATTCTCTTGTCAGAACATCTAGAAGAGAAACAGTTGGCAATCAGCTTTGCTGGGAACAAATTTAATTTAGGGTTCTAAGATGATTTTTCTCAGAGCAGGAAAAGGGGATTCTGTTAAATAAAAGTTTTGAAATCCCTGGCAATCTCAGGAAGCATGTTGTTTTCAGTGGCTTTTCTACTTTCATTCTAATGATTTGCAGTTTCCCTAGGAAGGTCCTGCTGCTGTTAGCTATCACAGTGAGTGCTTCTTTCTGTTCTTTTTTGCAGGATGACTTACTTTCTTTGAAAGTTGTGAGTGTGCTACACCATCTCAGTATCAAAAGGGCCATCCAAGTTCTGAGGATCAATAACTTTGAACCAAACTGCCTTCGGAGGCGGCCATCTGATGAGGTAGCATTTCAGACAGAGATCAATAAGCATCCATTTTTCATATATGTGACTCTGTATACAAAGCTTTAGACTCACATCAGATGTAGTGGCCCATGCCTGTAATCCCAGCACTTGGTAGACTGACACAGGAGAATCACCACAAGTTGAGGCCAGCCTCTGCTACATACTATGTTCGAGGTTCCCTGGAACTGCATAGCGAGACCCTGTCTCAAAAAAAAAAAATCCAAAAAACTAAAGCCCCATTTGTTCTTGGAGCCTGAGAGTCTAGAGCCAGTCTCTAGAACCTTGAATCCAGACTCATTTACATCTTAGTCTTTGTTTTCCTGTATTGCTTTCCCTATTTTTTGCCCCCATAATGATTCCCCTGTATAGCTAAAACAAAGGGGTGTTTTGCATTTTTGGTAGATATATTTTTATTTCCTGTCTTACTCCACAGAGCTAAATTTTACTATAAAAACTTCTTTTCCTTTTTCTTAGTATGTTAGCTTGAAATTCTATTATATAGATTCTTTAAAAGAATTCAAATTAACACTTTAATAATGTGGGAACCAGGAAATAGTGGTGCATGCCTTTGCTCCCAGCATTTGGGAGGCTGAGGCAGAAGGATTACAGTGAGTTCAAGGCTAGCCTGGGCTCCATGGTGAGATACCACACTAGTTAGATCTATAGAATGAGACCCTGTCTCCAAAAAACAAACCAAAATGTCAAGTAATAGTGCTGTATGGGGCAGACATCTTATGCTGCACATGCAGATTTGCTTTGGAGAATCCTGTCACCAACAGCTGAATCTCATGGTGGGTTGTTTGTTCCCACAGAGTAGCATTACTCCATCTGAAGTTCAGCAATGGACCAATCACCGTGTGATGGAATGGCTGCGCTCTGTGGACTTGGCAGAATATGCCCCCAATCTCAGGGGCAGTGGAGTCCATGGTGGACTCATGGTAAAACTCTTTCAATTTTACATTATCTTCTCATTTTGTTTCCCTTACTCTAATAAATAGGATATTGTAGATTGAGCAAAATCTGAATTGCTTCGAAATCTACAAGTGAAAAATTCAACTCCAAACCTTATTCCAGTGAGTTGCAGTCAAAATGCAAGTACTAAACATATGTAAGATTACTAGGAGATTATATATATCAAACACAAATGAATTTCATGTTCAAAGAGGTGTTTTTCATTTTTAGTAGATATATTTTTGTTTCCTGTCTTACTCCACAGAGCTAAATTTTACTATAAAAACTTCTTTTTATAGTAAATTATAAATTTACTATAAATATTCCATAATCTGAAAAGAAATCCCAGATTTAAAACACTGCTGGTCTCAAGCATTTTGGGTAAGGGATACATTCTGTATCAGTTTGCTTATCATCCAGTCATCTAACCTAAGCCTTGTACTTTAAGAGAACTTTCATTTTTTAAAACTGTAGATCAGATTTAAACCATTTCACCTTTGTTGTTCTTCCATGATCATCATTTAAAAACCTAGCAATTACACAGGTTGTATTTTTGCACATAGATGTTGCATAAGGATTTGAGTTCCCGAGGTAGCACGCCACAAAGAGTCAGAAGTGCAGGCATTGCAAAACCAGAATCCTAGATTACAGGACTAGCTTCACCACTTCGAAAATTAAAGATCAATGTCCATTCCCTGTCTGCCTCTGTCTCAGTTACTTTTTACTCGTTGCTGAGACAAAATACCTGAAGCCCAAGTTGGGAAAGGAAAGATTATTTTCTTACAGTTTTTGGAGGTTTCAGTCCACACTCAGTTGACTCCAAGGCAGGCTGGCATGGCTGGGCCGCAGTTCATGGCGGCTGCAAACAGGACCAGCAAAGAGCAAGACACACCTTCTTCCTGCCATTACATCACATCCTGGCTCCCCCCTATGTGGGTGTAACACTGATACCATCAATCCAAGCACTAGACAATGAACCATCACAAATGCACAATGCCAACTCATGAGGCCTGGGGGCCACAGACATAAACCATGACAGTCTCCTTGGGCTGTTAAGAAAGTCAGTGGAGATAACCCAAATAAGTCTTTGAAAATTGTGAAGTCTAATACAAACATGTATGATCTGTGATATGTTTCAACATTTTTTTTTACAGGTGCTAGAGCCTCGTTTTAATGTAGAAACAATGGCTCAGTTATTGAACATTCCACCAAATAAGACTTTGTTACGGAGACACTTGGCCACTCATTTCAACCTTTTGATTGGTGCTGAGGCCCAACACCAAAAGCGAGATGCCATGGAGTTACCAGATTATGTACTTTTAACAGCTACTGCCAAAGTGAAGGTGGGTTCAAGCTGGTACCATGTAATACATTACCTGAAGCAACAGCCCAGTTTTTTTGGTGTTTGTTTGCTTGTTTGTTTGGGGTTTTTTTGTACTAGGAATTGAACTCAGGGCCTTGCACTTAACAGGCAGTCACTGTGCTGTTGAGCTATATCGCCGACCCAATTTTGACTAGTACTTGCTATTCTATTTCTTTGGGGCTTTCTAAGTTTTGTGGGTTATTCAGGTGTTTATATTTTGTCTTTTTTGTGTGTGTTTTTGTTTTTTTCAGAGTGTCACTGTGTAGTTCAGACTGGTTTTAAACTCAACTATGTAGCTCAGGCTGGCCTCAAACACACAGTAGTCCTCTTGCATAACCTTCCAAGGGCTAGGATTACCAGTTACACTACTATACCCAGATAAAACGTGGATATTTCCAAGAGTAAAGCAGATAATGTATTTTTAAGGTTTCTTCTTAATTGATTTATTAGTGTTAATAGTAAAGAGCAGATTGTTAGCTTTTACAGCTCATGCATTGCCACTGCAGAGAACCTTCTTTTGGGCCCAAACATTGGCTGCAGTTCTGTTTTTCCTATAGAAAAAGGAAGACAGTTTCTCCTTGTACAGATTGAGCTTTTCTGGCTTATAATTAGCCAACCTTACAATTAGAAAAAAATATTTAAGAAATGTTTCAAGATAGACTAAGATATCCATTCTCTAGTAGATTGGTGGATTGTATCAAATTCAGTCTATTTTTCTTTTAAATAATTTGTTAGCTGAGCATAGTGGTATACTTGGGAAGCCAAGCCAGGAAGATCACCACTTTCCAGGCCAGCCTGGACTACACAATGCGATCCTATCTCCAAAAATCCCTAAATAAATAATTTGTATCTTTAACTCTTCTCAATGTATTATCTTAACCACCTTAACATGGAGGTGGAGCTTGTCAGTTCTTCCAGAGATATGTGCCAAGTTCTTTTTATTTATCTGTTTATTTTTCTCTATCTGGCTTTGAAATCCCTTTCTAATCTTTAAAAGACATGCCAGATTGAATTCCTGGAGAAAGTATGTTCTGCATAAATTCTCCTGATCATCTCAAGGACTATTCAGTAGCTAAAATGGACTTTCTCATCACTAAAATTGTCTCTCTAAAAAAGTGATAATTATTTTACCAGTCATGAGTCCTTCTGTAGAAGCAGAACAGACATGCAAACCTGCTTATTTTGGGCCGGGGATTTAACTCAGCAGCATAAGCACTTGCCTGGCAAGTGTAAGGTCGAGTGTTCAATTCCTAGTATTGAAAAAAAAAAGGTTTGCTTATTTTACACTGAAAAACCTCCAAGGTTAGATTCAGTGTGAGAAATTCTATTGCATTAAGTCCTGTCTAATCAAAACAAAGGGCCCTAGCATGGTTTTATCACAGTAGCTATCCAGCTAGTTTGTGTGAATAAGAATAAGATTAATATTGTTATTGTTTCATAATTAGGATTGTTTATATTTGAATGTATTATATGCCTGAATATCTTAGTTTTTGTTATGCAGATTTAATCCTTCCAGTTCTCTGTGTGGTGGGGTGTATAATTTAATTAGACATGTTATAGGTCCTTTGTCACATGACATTAATCCAATCCATGAGTGTTTTTATTTGCTTTTAAAGCCAAAGAAACTTACCTTCAGCAATTTTGGGAATCTGAGAAAGAAGAAACAGGAGGATGGGGAAGAATACATTTGTCCAATGGAATTGGGACAGGCATCAGGAAGTGCCTCAAAGAAGGGATTTAAGCCTGCTTTGGACATGCACCTGTATGATGATGATTTGGATCGGTTAGAGCAGGTGAACACAACACTGTACACCTCTCATGCATGCTGCATTGGGACACTGACTGGAAACTTCATACAGTGTATCTAGTAATTGAGGTTATTTTCCCAAAACCCCTAAAAATAATGAAGAAACAGTGAACACTTACAGATTGCTTACACATTCCAGGTTCTATCTTCAGCACTTAACATACATTAAAGTTCACAATAATATTAAAGACATAGAGTGTTTTATTTAGACAAGGAAATTGAAGCAAAAAGAGGTTAAGCAGGTATCCCAAGGTCTCCAGCCCACCAGGCTGCTCCAGATCTTGTACAGCTTGTACTACATCATAAGTCACTATGTTAAGGAAATCTATACCTTAAAGCAAGTCAGAAATGGGTAGGTACTACTACCTAGCCTTCCCGAATTCAAATCAAAGAACTGAATCCCGCTCTATAATCAAGTCCTTTTGTGCCATTGCTAAAGTTAGGCCAGATGTGCTAGAAAGTGTTTCATTTTCCAGTTGTAATAAAAGAGATTATCATCAAAAGAAGTCAGACAAATGGTATTGAATGGGAATAAGAAAAAATTTGCCTTCAGCTTAAATTGTGTTCATTTTGCTTCATTGTCTTTCTATTTATGAAAATGATACGACAGGGGCTGGGGATTTAGCTCAGCGGCATAAGCGCCTGCCTTGCAAGCAGACAGTCATGAGTTCGATCCCCGGTACCAATAAAAAGGAAAATGATACTACATTATGATTTGTTTTTTGCAGATGGAAGATTCAGAAGGGACAGTGAGACAAATAGGTGCATTTTCAGAAGGTATCAACAATCTCACAGTAAGTTTGCACAGTGAATTGAAAATGATTCTCTAATCATATCTATTAAAATAACCCCAAAGGACTACATGTACATTGGAGACTGTGTAGTTGTGAGCTCAGAACTCACAGTGTGGGCTTCCTATTTCTTTGTTTTCCAGCACATGTTAAAAGAAGATGATATGTTTAAAGATTTTGCTGCCCGTTCCCCCAGTGCCAGCATTACAGATGAAGACTCAAACGTTTAACTGTAGAACCTGGATAAACCCTTGGAACCCTCAGTCTTCTTTCCACTTTATTTTTCAAATACAGTGTATACAGCAAGCAAGGGATTGTATATTGTTTATCATTCTACTTTCTGTTCCTACAGAAGCAAGATGGAAATCGTGAAATGTTCCTATTTAGAAGTTGCCACAAAAAAATGAGACACTGGTAAAAAAAAAAAAAGTATAAATTGTTTTTCCTCTATTTAATGTATAAATCTGTGATATATTTTATTTAAAGTGTTGCATTTAAAATGAGTATTTTGCCACAGTGTTTCCATCCACATCTCCAGATGGAGGGTTTGGAAATGACTTTGTCACATCTGCTTTCAGTGTTGCCATTTACACAGGACAGTCTGTGCTTTCTAAACCAGTATGTGGGATTTTGTTACACATTCATTGTGCCCACTGAATGCCAGTCACACTTCCACTTGCCTCTCATTTCATATATTTTTCTAAAAATATATATATATTTACACACAGAAACAGTACATAGAAAACAAAAGTTTTGAGACATAAGGAAGATGATAAAAAAGTCACATCAAAAACAAAGTCCTCCAGCTACTTCTAAATTTCCGTACACCAGCAAGTTCCTAAAGAAACTAAAACATTTATTTCTCCACAGCTGAATTTTACGCATTGATCACTGAAATTAAGCTAATATGCATGAAATATGCCCTCTTTGATCACACCACAAAATTCTTGAACAGTTTAAATATTTCAGTCTTAACTTTGGATCCATTGACATTAATAGCAAGAATTTGAGGGCCTTGAATACACTGTTAACTTGAATTCATTCATAAATATTCATAAACCCAAAATTTTATTTAAAAAAAGTTCTAAAGAACTAAAAAGAAAACAAAAACCTTTACAGTATTAAACTTCTTATTTTTCTTTTTGCCAAATACATCATTACATCATAATACTAACAGTCTACTTAAACCTGCTTACAATACATTTCTCAGGTTGTCAATGGGACAGGCCTCAAAATTTTGAGGCTTCAAAATTAATTTTATAATGGCTATTTTTTTAGATAAAATGTTACAAACACCAAAATACTCTGTTTAAAAAAAGAACACAGAAAACTGAAGCAAAAACTGTTTCTGTGTTTGTCTTATTGTTGTTCATTTAGGAAAAGTCTGCTTTTCATTCTCTGCTACAGAATTGCTCATGATGGCCAATGGTGTAGAGTTGGTGTTCACAAATTGGAGCAGAGATGGGTGGTTCCGTTTGTGCCAGAGGACTTGATTATAAACTGTATTTGTGTTATCAGTGATAGTTTTCATTATCAGCAAGTTATCAAGCTACTCATCAAGAAACTTGTAACACTCAATTATTATATATTCATCACTAAAATGATTTGATGCTAGCAATGGTTTCTTTGAATTCTGTCATTCATTATTTGGTAATTGTATTAGACTTGGCTTATATTTGGGTTTTATTTTTAATATGAATTTATGTCACCATAAATATGAAAAACCCATATTTGTTATTAGAACCTGGTTCAAAATACCATAAGACTGTTACAGATACCAAATATTCTTCATTCAGGACAATATAACATAACTGATGATAGGTGATACGGTTAACAGATAGTTTGATGGTATATTTTATTTACAAAATATATGCTGCTGATAATGCCATCTGAGCAGAAATAAAGTTAATTGATAATTGACTCATGTTTTTATTGTCATTATTTAACTTTGCTTTGTTCAAAGTAACAAAGAAGGCCAGGCATGGTGCCACACACCTATAATCCTAGCACTTAATTAGGCTGAAACAGAAGGATCACTTTGAGTTTAAGGCCAGCAGGATACACTGTGTCAAAGACAAAAAATACAAACTAGTTTTTACACTATACATTTTCTTGAGTAGATTTCAAAAAGGTGTCAATTTAGGTACATTGGAGGTCTTTGAAAAACTTGTATGTGAAAGGAAATATGGAACTGAGCTAAGAAATAAATTATGACAGGACATAGGAAAGGCAAACACATGATTCATTTACACATTTGAAGTTGGTAGAAAGAAGTATATGGCACATGGGCATGGTGATATATACCTATAATGTCACCACTCTGGGAGACTGAGGCAGGAGGATTTAAAGTTCAAGCCTAGCCTTAGGGACTTAGTGAGACCCTCTCTCAGAATAAGAGGGACTGCTTTGTAGTGTGAAGGCCCTTAATTCAATCCCCAGTACCGCGAAAATGTGGGAGGAAGTACAGAACGCAGGATAACCTGTGCATGGTAGCCTCTGTTCCTGTAATACCAACACTGTTATAGGGTTAGACAGGAACATTACAAGGTCAAACCCAGCCTGACTATTTAACGACTTAGGAAGACTCTGTGTCAAAATTTAAAATACACCAAAAAAATATCTGGAGACATAGTTCAGTGTGAAGGTCCTGGCTAATTTGATTCTCAGTGCCATATAAAAACAAAAAGTAGAATACAACCTAGAGAATTTGTGTATGGAATTTACTATCTGTAACTTAGTAATAACAGCAGGAATCCAAAAAAAGACAAAAAAATAAAAATAAAAAAGCCGGGCATGGTGGCTCACGCCTATAATCCCAGCACTCAGGAGGCTAAGGTGGGAGGATCGTTGGGAGTTCGAGACCAGCCTGGGCTACAAAGTGAGCTCAAGGCCAGCATGAACTGCATAGCAAGACCCTGTCTCAAAAAAAGACAAAAAATAAAAATAACAGCAGGAATCTTTTTGAATATGTCACTCCCAAATGACAAACAGGGAGCCTCAAGTGTTTGTTTAGCTGTATATCTATAAGCTTAGCTACCTCAAGGAAGCTTTAAGAGGTGAGGAAATGGACCATTTTAATAGATGTGACTTCATCACAGAAGTTCGCTCTGAAAGGCAAGCAATTCTGAACAACATCCATGTGCTTGACATTTGGGAGTAGTGTACTACAGAAAAACATAAAGGCACATCATTATCTTCATTCTAGGTGGAGCCTGAAAAACTAGCTCCTGCTTCAAGTCCACTGAGCTTGGTGTTTTTTAAATTCAAATGAGCCTTACAACAGTTAGGAATGTGACCTTAAAAGTCCCTTGCCTTATTTGTCACCCAAAGAAGTCCTGAAAGAAGAGAAGGAAAGGGGCTTCCTTGCTTCAAGAAGCTAGACCCATGTCTATTACCATGTACTAAATTAAAATCTAAATGGGTCAAAGATCTAAATATTAAAACAAACACTAAATCTATTGGAAGACAAATTGGGTAGAAACCTTGAAGACATAGGAGTAGGTAGAGAATTCATGAACAGGACTCAAACCTCATGGGAAATACTTCCCAGAATCAATAACTGGGACCACTTCTTATTAAAAAGTTTCTGCATGTCAAAAGAAATCTCCAGAATAATGAAAAGAAAACCCACAAACTGGGAAAAGATTTTAGTGAACTCTCTCTTAGACAAGGGACTCTTGTCTAAAACATATAAAGAATTTAAAAAAAAACTTAGACCCCCAAAATTCAAAGATCCAATCCAAAAATGGGCATCTGAGATGAATACGCACTTCTCAGATGAAAAAATACAAATGGCAAATAAATACATGAAAAAATGTTCATCATCATTGGTCATTAGAGAAATGCTAATTAAAACCACACTGAGATACCATCTCACTCCTAAAGAATAGCCAGGATCAAGAAAACCAACAACAACAAATGCTGGAGAGGCTATGGGGAAAAAGGAACTTTCCTACACTGTTGGTGGGAGTGTAGACTGGTACAACCTTTGTGGAGGTCAGTCTGGAGATTTCTCAAAAAGCTGGGATTGGAAGTCCCATTTATTCCAGCTATTCCACTTCTAGGCATATTCCCAGAAGAACTGAAAGCATCATACCACAGTGATATATGTGCACCTGTGTTTATAGCAGCACAATTTGTAATCACCAGATCTTGGAAACAACCCAAGTGTCCATCAACTGAGGAATGGATAAAAAAGTTGTGGTATTTCTATACAATGGAGTACTACTCAGCTATAAAGAAGGATCATATTGAGATATTTATCAATAAATGGGCGCAGCTTGAGACCATACTCATAAGTGAAATAAATCAATCTCGCATGTGTGAATACCGAATAGTTTCCCTAATGTAAGTAATGATTCAAATATATAAAAGTATGTGATAATCATGATTCCCCATTATGTGGCCTTGAAGCCTTATAAAGTTTTCACTTATTAATTGGAAAGGCTTTATTTTGAGCTTCTTGATATGGAAATATTTGAAGCTATAGTATATGAAGTTATATTCAAATATTTCAAGGAAAATGGTAACTACTACTAAATTGGGTTATTTGGTGGTAAAGCACTAGGTTGTTGACCTGTATTGTTATGTTGTTATGTCCTCTTTTATCTCAATCTCTCTCTTATTCACTAAAAAAAATTAGTTTTTTTTTAATTAAGGGGAAAATTTTTAAAAATTAGCAGGAGATATTATAGTAACTTTTTGATTTCCTATTAACTTGTTTTGAAGTCCTGTAATACTCCCACTATCTTGTTTTGACTGATTGGACTCTGTTCCATTCTGTATGATAGTATCATGTTTGGGAGTATAGGCAACTACTTTGAAGGCAATAAGATTCACTAAGATGCCCATTCTGGTTTGACTATTTTCTCCTTTGGAAGTCCTGTAACGTTTACAATGTTTAAGTTTTATTGGTCTTGTTCTCTACTGTTTTGTTCAACTTTATAATACCTAATGAGATAGACAATTCTTTTTAAGGAAACGAGAGGCATTATGGTAACCATTGTTGATAACCTTGTACTCTGTTCTTACATCATGTACTATGTCTATCCTTGGTTTTGACTGACAGCTTTGTTTTGCCATATTTGACTTTATTCTCTTCCATAAAAAAAAGTAATAAGAACTAAGGAGTATTAAAACCCAAAATGTGTAAATTTTGTTGTAAAAAAGAGAGAGAAAAAAAGTGTTCTAAAGGATACAACTGAAAGTGTGTTTAGGGATGTTAAATAGCTGACCATATTAATGTTTTTGGTTGGATCATTGAACACAACTGTTTGCAGTCTCACTGTTTGAATGTCCACTTTGTATGCTTTGATACTGTGACTTGAGCAACTATCTCTAAGATGATAATGTGTAATCTATTAACTGGTGATTTCTTACTGGTTTTGTTGTTGTTGTTGTTGTTTTTGTAGTTCTGTATTACTTGTACCCTTGCACCGCTTTGTTTTGTTTTGTTTTTTCTCTTTTTCCTTTTAAATAAAATTTTTTAAAAAAAGGAACAGAAGGGTGTGTGGCCTTCTCAGCCTTAGTTTTCCGTCTTTGAAAGGTTTTTTTTTTTTGGTCTTTTTCGGTACCAGGGATCAAACTCACGACTGCCTGCTTGCAAGGCAGGTGCTTTATGTGGCTGAGCTAAATCCCCAACCCCCCCCCCCCACCCCCTGGTCTTTGAAATGTTGAGTCACAACCAAAGCCCCTCCTTGAGGAAGCTGGAATAAGAAAGTCTTGAAGTTGTCCTACAGTGGAAATTAGTGTGAAATACAGTGTTAGGGCTGAGTTAATCCTCAGTGAATGAGTTTTGTTTTTTTTTGTTTGTTTGTTTGTTTTTTTCAGTGAATGAGTTTTGCCCTAGAATAAATTACAGGACTCTATGGTGGTAGTTCAACATCATGGAAGGCCAAATCAGGGATGCTTACCGTGCTGGCCACTTCCTCCTTCTTCCCCTGATTACAACTTTCTCCTTCCTTTATGAGTGTGTACAAAGGAAATTCCAATCAGCTCCTCACACATCATCGATTCCCGCCCCAAGCACCACATTCACTAAAAATTCACATATATCCCACACCACCATATCTGGGCAGAGAAGAAAGCCAAACCCTTGGTGATTGTAGGCTCCTCTCCATTGTCCTGTAAATAAAAAGGCCACTTTCATTTTTTCTTATATCCTGCTCCTTTATTGGATCAGAAAACTCTTTAACATTTGGTGTCTTGAGACTCGAGTGGCAGAGCACATTATCTCCTAGAAATCATTCCAGTTCGAGTTCCTCTGCCTACAAACCACCTTTCCTTCCTCTGGGACCTGTTTGTTCGCTGCCACTAGTCCACATGCAACACTCTCTTTCATCATAGGTGAGCTGCTGTCGGGGGTTTTCTTTCCATTCCTAAAATTCTCAAGCTTGCATCAGAAAACTTATCCATTGTTAGGGACTGGGGATTTAGCTCAGCGGCATAAGTGCCTGCCTTGCAAGCAGGCAGTCATGAGTTCGTTCCCTGGTACCGATAAAAACGAAAAAGACCAAAAAAAAAAAACATCCGTTGTCCCTGGACAGAGAGCAGTTTTCATGTTCCTTGGGCAGGACAGTCCTGAGGCAAAACTGTTACCCTCTTGTTCTCTGGGACTCCACCCTCCACGCTCAGTAATAGTGGTGGATGAGAACAGGTTGAGACCTTCCGTGTCACACTTTTAAAACGTGATGACTTCTTTTGATAGGTGTGATCCAGGACAGCTTCCACATTGCTTGGGAGACAGCTAAAGATCTTACATCCTAAGGCAAAGTTGTTCTCTCAGCTCACTTGTAATTCAGTCATGGGGACCATTTCCTGTCCCCTGAAAAACATACCTCTGAGGTGCCTGGTTCATAACTTTGGTGCTCTTGGCTTCAAGAAGGCTGTTAAAAAACCCAAAAAGCTGATCTTTTATTTAT